ATTTCTGACCCATTAGATGGTTATGTGTAAACTTCCAGCTGAAAGGATGGACCACCCAAGAACTCTGGCTTTGTAATTATAATATGGGAAAGTACAGAGCAGCAACAGTCCCTTCCCAAGTACTTCCACAAGGTGTGCAGGAATCACTATCAACAGCCAACTGCATGTTACAAATTGTTTGAGGATAAACAGGAAAGAGAAGAGAAATGGGAAGAGAGCGGGAGGGGAAGGGAAGAGGGAGGGAGGGAAAGGGGGGAGAGGGAGGGGGAGGGGGGAGGGAATGGCAGGCACTACACATGTAGTATTATGTAAAGTCAGGCCCAAGGAGCAAGAAGGAAGATAAAGTTGTGCATCTTCATGTTCATTCACTCACGCAGAGGTTCAATAAATACTTCACACATGGGCCATGGGGAAGTGGTGTCTTTGGAAGCTGGAAGGAAGAAAATGCAAAAGCAATCAAAGGCGACCTCTGAGAGTCTCAGGGCAGCATGCACCGCACGGACACGGTGATGGAGATTAAGGACACCAGCACTGCTCTGACCACGAGGACAGAAGAGAAGAAGTCACTGAACAGCCAAGAACATCGGAGAGGAATCGGAGGAGGGCAGAGCAGGGGAATATTGCACATGGCGCGATGCCTGCCGGGAAAGTGGTACCGGGAGCCACTGACACTCAGAATTTAGGAAGAAGCACTAAAACGAATCGCATTTTAACCAACAGGTACTTTACAGTTAACAAGTTTATTTTCAAGCCAAGTCTGAGACTGGGGTGCACTTGGGCCAGGACAGAAAAGGAGCCTGTTCTAAGGCCGGGTGCCGGGGTCTCGTTCAGACCCAAAGCCTCGCTGGCACACACCTGCAGCATCTTCGAGCTCAAATGTTAAGTTCACAGTAGCGCCCAACTACCACTCTAAAAGAGAACCGAGGAGGGTTACGTGTGCTTCTTCCCTGCAATTCTGCAGTCCTGGCCGCAGAGGGCTCTTGTCTCTCGCATCCTGAGTTGCCTCTGGCTGTGTGGTTTTAAGTGGGTGGAGCTCAGGGGCTCCTTCCTCTTCAGTAAGGAAGAAGCTGGTAGCCCTGCTTCACGGACTACTGAGAGGACGAAAGGACGCACGAAACGAGGCAGTCGGGATCCCACCACCCAGACAATGTGCCTCAGTCCCCCCAAACCCCACTCCGTCCAAGTTCCAGTCTCAGATGGGCCACTCATTTGTCCTCTCGTGCCTCAGTTTCCACTTCTATCAAATCAGGACGTGGGGCTCGATGACCTCCAAAGCCCTTCCTGCCCAATCCTGAGTCTGCCCAGTCAGTGCCGCCGTTAGAAGTTCTGTATCCGGTCTCCCCTCCCTATCCTGAACTGCCCTTTGCCTCTGCGTCTACACCACTGCTGCTATCTCCCGCTACACCACAGCTGAGAGCGGTGATGGGTCAAGAGTCCTGGAAGGCTGGGACAAGGCTTCCAGGAGACCCCATCCCTGCTCAGGACAGCCGTGGGGCCGGGTTGGGATGACACACTCAGGGGCGTGAGCAACTCACCAGAGCCTGCAGATTCCAGGCAGGGCCCGAGCTGCCCCACAGCAGCCGACCCACCTTGCCCTCCTCGAACTGGGCCTGCTGCTCTCACACAATGCCCAGAATTAACCACCTCGTCCGTCAGCCGCCAGGTGACATGCACAGATCACCGGGACCCTTGTCTCTGTGCGCACCGGGACTCGCGGTGGGACCCCTGGGCTCTGCAGTCAGGTTGAGGCCACCAGGGCTGAGACACACCTCTCAAAGAGTTGTGCAGTTAGCAGATGGCCGTGTAGCCACGCAGCAGCCAGAAGCCATGAGATTTCCTTAGTTGAAGCCTAAAATCTGCAAGATGCACAGGACCCCCAAACGCACCCCTAATATCACAGAATAACCAAGGCAAAGGGCTCACGCTGGGAGGCAGACTCCCAGGGACTGGTCGAGCAGGCATGCTGAGTAAGGGGGTGACTTAGCTCTTCTGAGCTTCAAGGCTGCTGGGCAACCTGGGGACACCCCTCAGCAGAGCTGCACTCCTCGTCTGTAAAATGGGCACGGCAGGAGCCATCTGGGGACACGTAGGGGTGAACAGCCTGCCTGCCTGAGGGAGGGACAGCTGGACCCAGGGGGAGGGCCCAGCCTGGGGACATCTGGTGCCTTTCCACCAGCGCAGTCCGCACCAGAAGTTCAAGATGAGAATCAGCCCAAGGTCCGTGAGGCCTTCCGGACCTGTGTGACCTGCACCAGTGAGTTGAACGCTGCCTCAGTGTCGCAGTCACCCTCTTTGTTGCTAAGACACAACACCTGACACCCGCAAATTAAAAGAAGAGGTTTACGTTGGCTCGAGTTTTAGTCACAGCTGTTGGCTTCCAGGCCAAAGCAGGCGCAGGAGCCTGGTGTTCAGGAAGCCGGGAGCATCAGGGAGGAGCCAGACGGGAGATGCACCCAGGCCACTCGGCCAGGGACCCCTCTTCCCACCAGGCCCCCTCCTGGCAGCAAATCAGTGCTAAGCCCTAGAGCACAGCAGGCGGGGGGACATCTGGATATAAACGGTGACCAGCCCTATCGTGGGGAGACCCCGATCCCACGCTGCCAGGGCACCTGGTGGCTACCCTGGGCGCCAGAGGCTCCTGACTGCACCAGAGCCCACCATAGTCACCCACCACCCCTCACCCTCTGGGCCCATGAGGTTGCAGGGGCAACAGCGAGCTATTCTCAGCCGCTATGCTGCCCACACCCCAAGGGCTCTCTCTGGTCTCATTCTGCACCCCATGCTGAGACCGCTCCCTCCTGCCTCACAAGATCAGAGGGGAAGGGGAACAGGAGGAAGGGACCCTGCAGTGGGCCCTTGCATGTTAATTCCTGATCCCTTTAGTCCTTAGATACTGCACATGTCCATTCACGGAGTACTTCCCCTCACAAAAGTCTCCCAGTGTTCACCTCTACCTGCTGAGCAATTCTTCTGACCTCTTCTCGTGTTCACCCTTTAAATATCCATGGCTGGCTCGCTCACTGCAGTCCCTATTCCGTTATTAATGGCCCACAAAAGCTTGCCAGTGCCAATCATGATTCATCTGATTAATCAATCCTTCCTTCTGCAGAGTGACATCCAGGAGGAAGAGCTTATCCCGGGGCCTCGCCTGTCCTGGATTCCTGGCCCCTCCCCGGTGCCGTTCCCAGCTAAGAAGGCAACATCCGACAGCAGCTCGACCGAACCTGTGCCCGGACCACTCTCCATCCGCTGGTTGTGACTGTGAAGATGCTCCCCAATGATCTTAACTGCAAAGAGCTCTCAGATGGCGCCTGTACTTGACAGCAAACTTTAGAGAGGCAGAGAAACAGAAGTGAGAAGGTCCAGAGTACAGACCAACTCTGTCAGGATGAGAAGCAAAAGTCAGTTTTCTGCATCTCTGCCACCTGTGCAGGCTAGAGAATATTTACAGCATCTAGCTGTGTAAGTGGGACTGAGTATCTACTCAAAGAGCACAACACGGAACAGCTCGGACACCCGGTGGCCTCGGAAGCCTGGCACGCCGACACCAGCAGGGCCATAAAGAAAGCCATGGCCCTTCTCCTCAAGGGGTCGCCCTGGTGCCGCCCGCTCAGAAACAGCCCAACGGAACCACAGAGCCGCACACGAAAATCCACACTCCAGTGCTAGCCGCCAACAGAAACACTGACACCGGTGTACACGCTCATCTTAGAAATATGTCTTGCTAAATACAGGAATGACCAAAAACACAAATGGCATACCGCTAGTAAGAAGGAGAAATGTGGAAGTTAGGCAAAAACACCTAAAGTCTCACCAATACTATTAAATGAAGAGAGCACAGTAAAAACCCTGCTGCCAGCCTTCTGTGAGCTGGACAGATGTGCAGGGCCCCATGAAAAATCAAGACAGTTATTAGGCTTATTGTTTATTTTTAAAATGTTCTACCCGATGTAATGAATATCAATTTTCCATTAACAAGTTCATTTTATCATTTACTCCATAATTTAAAACTTTCTCAAACCCTGCTACAGTTCAATGGAAAACAAAATTTTAAAGTTTCTGCCTGAGTCTCCTGAGTAATTTTTATTGTCTACCACAATATTTATTGCATTTTTCTCCCAGAGCATTTTCTTCTCTTTACTGCATAATCCTTCAGTGTCTTTACAGATTCTGAGCTCTCAGAATGCTTGCACTTCTTTCCTTTCCCTAAGAGAGGAGGATTCTTTAAAAAGATCTGTCTTTTCTCTTTCTTTCTTTTTTTAATGTGCTGCTGGGGGCGGAAGCTGGCACTTCCGCACTGAGCCGCCCCACCCCAGGACTGCTTCCACAGCAAGCGTAGCGAACCCAGGACTGCGTGGCAGGGCTAACACTGCCAAAGGCCTGTGCCAAAACCCAGTATTTTATGGGACCCCCAAACCGTGGGCTCTTCTCAAACATGCAGGGCATTTCACATTGCAGATTCCCAGAGTCTTTCAGCAGGACATCTGATCTTCTCAGGGCGTCTTAAAATTTCTTCTGGGACCCTTCCAAATCCTCTGCCAAGCCTCCCTGTGCTGTAAGAACTCCCTTCCTATAATGACCCTGACACCCTCTTCCATTCCTCAGAAATGCTCTCTTAGGACTAGGTTATCTGTACTCCTTTGATCATAATATCTCGGAAAGACTGCAGAGCCAATAAACTAAAAATATGATTCCGGGTCTCGTGTGTGCCCATGCACACCCTCATTAAAGCACACGCCGTGCACCTCGATTGCTTTCAAAGGTTCCAGTCCCTCTGGCCCAGTGCCACCAAGGCCAGGCACTGAAAGGATGCACAGTAAAATTAAATATCTGAAAATTCATCTTTAATTAACAGAATTGGATTAAAGCTAGACAGCGCTGCATATCATACGAGAAATGGCTGAGCTGGCTTCCGAGGGCTTTAATTCAATGAGGACGCAGTGAGTGACACTCGGACGGGAAAGGTTAATTGGGGTGGCCAGAACGGAATCATTCCTTACCTAACCAGTCATTAAACTTCTTAACCTCTGAGGGCAGTCCCAGCTCGGTGAAATCGCCCGTGTGGAGGAGGATGTCCCCGTAAGGCATCTGGAGAGCATCTGTTCTGGAGTGTGTGTCTGAGATGCAGACAAATCGCGTGTGGCCAGCTGGTTTTGGAGTGTCATATGGGATGGGGTCGACCCTGAAGTAGACACAACAGATCCCACAACAGTTAAACACATCAGAACCCTGGCAATTGTCATCGCACACACATATCGACCATGAGCCGTGCACACACCCAAACCAAATGGGGCAGAGGCAGGAGGGCCCTTTGGAACAAGGGACATGGTGGGGCATGGGACGGGACAGCATTCCTCGGCCACAACCCCACTGGGCAAATTCAAAAAGCCTTACTTACCTGGCAGGAAAATGAAAAGAAATTAACATCTTACATGCAGAGTCAGAAATAACCCAGGACACTGGTAAGCGTGATTGGGTGGAGTTTAGGGTTACTGAACCCAACTCAGGAAGCAAAATCACACTATTTCTCTCTCATCGTGCTTCAGCTGATCCCAGGACTCAGTGGGAAATGGACAACTTGTGTATTCCCTCTTAAACATGCATAATTTAAGCAATGAACTCATTTCCAGAGCGCCGTCCACACACGCTCTGCCCACCGAGGTGTGCAGGCAGCGCTCCCACTGCACTCCCGCTCTACCACCATTCAGACCCGCAGCTTGTCTTTGCTGAGAGACTCACAAACCAAATGCTGAGGAGGCAAAGTGACACCAAACAGCAGAGTTCTTAAGAAAGGAAACCGGATGCTAAGAGACCTTCACCATCTTTACCACCATGAATTATCTGCAGTCCTGGTTTCACCTCAGGTGGTTGGAAATGCTCCGGTGCTCAGGGCAAAGACTCTACTGAGTGAACACAGAGGCCCTGCTAATGTGTATGTGTAGATCTACGTGCATTAATACATGTACGGTTTCAGAGACCTAAGCACTGTGAAATTACACTAGGGCGTAAGAATCAAAAGGCAAAGTGATCAACCCGAAGCAAAGAAAATGAAACAGAACATTCTCATTTAATTGACTGACTGTAACAAAGTGTGCTAAATAAACCTGGGAAAGAAATGCAAATCTGACTCCTGGAGCATACAGTTTAAATTATTTAAGAGGTCTGCAGCAGAGTTAAGGATGCTTTAACTATATTAACTCTCCACTGACAGCTTCCTTTAATTTCTCTGTAGGAATGCGTGCTTAGTTTTAGATTATGGGTGAAAAGAAGCAGTTATAAATGCAAAGAGAAGGTCACAAGAGAAGCAAATATACAATGCAAAGATTAGAGTGTAAGACATTAAATAAAGAACTGTATTTCACATCACAACCCCACACATGAGAATCAGCATGCAGCTGGCAACAGCCAAGTATCTGCACAGACTCCAATTCCTATATAGGTTTTGTTTAATTTTTTTCTCCCTCCCCTCCTTTGTTTTCTTTTTAAGAAAAAATCTGTTTTAAGAATGGCAGTGTCAGTGAGAAAACAGATGCCAGGGTGTGACTTGGACAGCCTCAAATTTCTTTAATGAAGAGTCTTTTCCTGTATCTCTGTAAGAAAGGAAGCAAAGCAAGGCAGGGAAAGAAGAAAGGAGAGCAAGCAGGCAGGAAAAAGGCGAGGAGGAAAGGAGGAAGGAGCCACGAAGCACACAGGGCAGTGGCTCTGCCTGGAGCCCTAACAGGGAAGTTTAACTTCTGCAGCAAACAGGAATGGGGCTTCCCGGGAGAGGCTGTAACAATATGCTGTTACTGTGAAGAAAGCGTAGATAAACCGAGACCCCTTCAGTGACCTGAGAGCCTCCCTGGCTGGATTCGGTGTCAGGTGCTTAAATATAAAAACCCTTAGTGCTCCTGTCCATCTCTGAGACTCAGTACGACCAACGGCACCTGGGTGCCCAAAGCAGATCTCCCACAGCAGGAGAGACTGCTCCCTGCAGCTGCTACTGTGCCCTGGACGAGTGACCCGGTGCGTGCCTACCCCAAAAGTCAAGATATTCACCGTCGTAGGCTTCTCTGCATTCCTGCTTCACTCACCAATGTTCGATTGGAAATTTAACACATCCACCACTGAGCCACTAAAGCTGTGAATCAACACTGTCTCCTCTGTGAGTGTGTGTTTCTAGCTTTCACGCTAGCAGTAAATGTAAACCAAGCCATCACCTTTATGTTCTGTAATTCAGCTAAGTCTCGGCACAATTATTGCATCAAAATCTTGGGGTCCACCCCAGTTTATCAGAGAGACCTCATAGACATCATTTCGAATGCCTGAAGCAGAAAATAGCAAAGATATCAACCAATCACCGTAAACAGGCACTCATTCTGCCAGCTACCCCCACCAGAGCAGCCAATCAACACACGACACAGAACTCACCCCCAACTCGGCTCCAGGTCCGGCCGAAAACCTTCCAAGACTGTGGGCAACACCAGTCTTTCCATCACTTCCACCTACTTCCCACCCTCAGAGAAACATGCAAACATCCGGCAGAGTACACAACTCAGTAGAGTCCATGCAACATAAAAGCAGAGAGAAGGGAGGATAGAAAACCGGAAGCGTTTGTCAGCTCTGAGCGGAAATGAGAGGAGGGGTCCCAAGCAGACAGCAGGACCAGCGAGAGGACAGAATGCACCATGACTCCAGCAGCACCGAAGTGTTGGTGTGGATCCAGAGTCTGAAGTCATCTGGGGTTGGGGAGGGCAGGTTGGGGCAGGGAACAGGGGAGAAGGGAGCAAGAAAATGCAAATCCAAAGCGGCACGGGGCCCCTGACCCCGACAACGTACAAAGCAAGATGGCTTGTGAAGACAGCACAGGGGAGCATGCAGGACAAAGTGACATCCTCCCAGGACCACAAGGAGCAAGACCCTCAGAGGCGAAAATCAGAAGGTGCAGGGAGACAGTTCCAGCCCAGACACCCTAGGGAAACCAGCTGTCCCAAACTGGGCACTTGATAAACAGTTTGGAAAGACCAGAGAGCTAGGGTATGGGGATGGAGACCCCGCCTGCTCCCAGAGGAGCACCCTGTACACCCCTCTTCTTCCTCCTCAGTTTGCGATCGCACTGACCACGCAGACCACGGACATCCCCCACAGCGCTGCGTCAGACACTGTCCTACGCCCCAGAGCCACACTCAACACCACAGGACAGGAGCACACGTGATGGGGTGCACCCAGGCACAGCAAGCGACATGGGGACATGAGAAGGAAACATGGCAGCACAAGACTCAGGGAGAACAAGAGCCTGTGGGCACCTGGGTCAGCGTGGTGAACAGTGATGGTGCGGACTGCCCCTCCCTGCCGCTGACACAGACTTCCCTCCACGGCGCCAGAGGAAGGGGCCCACGCCGTTCCCTGTCCCCAGCAGCCCACTCTGGGCTCCGCTCCGACCGCTCTGCTTGCTCGAAGTTCCTGTCCCAGCTTCTGCACCTCCAAAACCCAAGCCTGGACCAAAGCCTCACACTGGAGCCCGAACCGTGGGGCAGCAATGTGGCCGAGTCCCAGGCTCCGGAAAAGCCCTTCCTCCCGCTGAGCCTCACGTTTTCTGTAAAACAGGAACAGTAACGCCCACGCTACTGTGAGGATGAAACCTGTCCCTCAGAGCCCTCCACACACCACATGAGCTGAACACAGGCCAATGCGAGGGTGAAGTGCGTTTGACTGTGGAGCAGAGGGCTCTGGCTCACTCGCCACTGATGAACTGTGACATCGAGCAAGTGCTTAACCCCTGTGCCTCGGCTCCCTCGTCGGGAAAGTGGACAGGAAAATAGTGCTTCTCTCCTAAGACTGTTGCGGAGATAAAAAAGGACAATATGCTCAAAGAATTTAAGACAGTGTGACTATCTTTTCTCACTATTAGCTAAGAGAATCTTTACTACTATCAGAGGTGGTCATAGCGGGGGATGTGTCTCAGCGGTACACCCATAGCCAGCAGGCTGAAAACCCAGTCTGTGGGGAAAAGCAGTAGTGGTATCACTCGGGGACTCCGTGAAAATTAGAGGAGAGGAGATCGCACAGCTACCACACAGCACAGCACTAAGCACACAATCCAGTCTATCAATACCTCTGTCCTGCCCGTCACCCACCTGGAGCCTCGTTCTGCACTCTGAAATAGCAAGAGGAGCAATCTAGTCCCCGTTTCCGTGACAGCTCTCCCAGTATCTGAGAACAAAGTGCGATCCCCTGCAGTCCTGTCTACTCCTACTCCAGCCGCGCAGTCAGTGCACTCACTCTTTCCTTGTGGGAGACAGCATCGGGGCCCTCAGAATCCTGTGCTTTCCTCCGAGATGCAAGTCCACTGGCCTCTCCGTTCGCAGGTCAGAATCCACGGTCAGTGCGAGTTCTTGGACCAATGAACCATGCATCGGAGACAAATGCTAATCCAGGCCACCATTGCCCCGAGGAGGCCCGAGCGTCTTAGAATTATTTTCCAGTTAACTCTCTGAGTTTCATGCCATGCTACAAATCCTGTTCTTGAAGCTTTATCACCCAATGCATGTGTATCTCATGGCATATGCAAGTAAATAAGCCATTCGCGTTTGTTCAGTCTTGACACGCTGGTGTTTTTCTATCAATAAAGTGTATGACAATATTACTACTTGTGGAGTCCTCTTTGGCCCTACCCGTTATTACTTCCAGTAACAAATTCACACAGAGTTGCAGAGCTCAAGGATAGATCTTCAGTTAGGCTGTTATCGCGTGGCTTGCTGTGACAGAGACTCACCTTTAAACCACACGCTCAGTAGACTGTTGTGTGCACAATAGGCCTACGATTCAGCACTGCTCACAGAGCGTTCTAACGGGATTTCAGTGTGTGTGGTATCTCCCATCCCACCTCCATAGCCTGATGTTTGTTTGTGCATTACACTGACTTTGTAAGTCTTCCAATGTGACATTAAAGCTTTCGTTTTTATCCAGAAAATATAGACAGCATGAAAGCTAAAATTATTTTGTGATGCTAAACCACCCAACCCAAAAATACTGTTTGATCAATGCAAATGTAAAAACTGCAGACACAATCAATCAATAAGTAAAATCCCAGCTGAGATGAACAGAATCACAGGATTCTTCCATGGGGATCTGAGGTTCACCCCTCTGAGGATCACCTGCCCGATGGCTGCCTCACTCACCTGCACTATTGTTTAATGCTCT